TCCCTGCCTCCCTGCCTGCCTGCCTGTCTGCTTTCCATCCTTTCTTAAATAGATGCCTACTTGCCTCTCGCCCCCTCTCCACCGCTGCCTCTGGGCAGCTCCAATTGTCCATCTGGCTGGAGCACTTCCGGGTTCCAGTTGGTGCCGGACTATTAGGAGTGCCGGACCGCTGGATGCTGGACAATTGGAGTTTTACAGTAATGCCCACTGAGCAAGTCCCCTAGGTCAGGCTTAATATTTTGGTCCGTTCTGACATACTTGCTTATTAGATCTTAACAAAATTCATTCTTCAGGTCTCTTACAAGCTTTCTGCCCCCTTGTATTGGAGATCTTGAGCCTATTTTATTCCTCCTTTTTAAGTAGCTTGTATCCCCCCCTCCCCTTGGTGCTCGGTTTCCATTCATTCTCATGTCTCCACTAGGTTTCATTATCTTTTTTTTTTCTCAGACCGTATTGTTGCAGCTTGCTATCAATATTTGTGTGATTCAGTTTGATTGCATATGCTGAGCTATACTGCTGTAGTTTTTCTTTTTTGGATAACAATTTGTTTATAATTGCTTTTCTTTCCTCTGGGTGTGTGTTCTGTCATCTTCTACGTCTGCTCATCCACTGATTTCCAAAGCAGACGTTTACTAGCTATTGACCAATCCTTCAAGTATAAATGAGATATTTATCTTGTAACTATTTGAACATGCATTTTTCTTGGACTTAATCCATTCTCTATAGATCAATATTATTGACTCTCCTAAAAGCCAATACAAGTTCATTAGTGTAACAAACGTTTCTGTTGTGTTAATGAGAAATTAGTTCTACTTGATGACTTTATTTTGCGTTACTGCCTTTGGTTATATAGACTTGTTTTTCTTTTCCCCATTACACTTTGCTGGTTTGATTCCTACTTGTCTGATCGTTAACCTGTCATAACAAGCATTACTCCATTTATCATATTGCTGCTAATGCAAAGCATTGGCTGTGACAGTGTTTCTGATTCTATTACGAAATACTTGTTCATTAGCAAATTCACTACGTGTGATGGGAGTTGTTTGATGGTACATGAACTAATCTTCTTGCTAATGACTTTCCTTCAGTTTCCTCGAAGAGTCCTGTTGTTCATAATACTAGCCTGATCTTAATTTGAAAACTAAATTTTTATTTCTTATTTGATGAGGACTTCTATTAAACTCTGTAACCATAGAATTTAGTTTGATTCTGTCCTTTCAGAAACTGAAGTAACATTTGTGAATGACAGCACCTCTTTGTATATTGTTTAATCGTGTGCTTGAAATCTGCATTTAGCATGAGTAAAGTTAGCTGACATATGAACTATAGCTAGTTTGAAATGCTGCTGGATGTTTCCTATCCTAGGAAACCTGAACCAAAATGAACAGTTGATATGAGGACAATAGATATTGTAGCTCTTGAAGAATGAACTGCCATAAGTTTATGGCTGTTTCCTCCCCCTCCCCGAGGTGATTGGAAAAGGAAAGAGGGTGGGTTATGCTTCAGCTCTTCCGTTATGATATGTGTATACTTTTTTTAAAAAAATGGGGCATGCAAATTCTTTAGTAAATTCAGTGAAATCTGTCTCTAGTTTTCCTAGTCTAGACTGTAGGATTGTATCTTAATACAGTAATTTCAATCTTCTTCAGCACCTGGTACTGAAGGTCACAAGAGCTGAGAGTATAAATTAATAAACATCCTGCCTTCATTTAAGGAGGCTTGGTTATGTGTCTGAAGCATTCTGAAATGTAAATGTAAAAATCATTTGAAGATAGGGAATCGTGAATTAGTATCCTTCAGATTCTCCTGCCTATTATCTACCAATTTCTAACAGATGGATGTGTTAATTCTACAGACTGTACATGATGGCAGACAGTTCATGAAATATATCGATCCAAATTTAGGAGTTGCCTTGCCAGAAAGAGACTATGGTGGAAACTGCCTTATTTATGATCCAGGCAATGAGACTGATCCATTTCACAATGTCTGGGTAAGAAATTGAAATGAAAAAGCCCTTGCCGAGCGAGTCCTGATGTTTTCGTGTGAAATATTACCTGTTTGATCACTCTAATGTGCAATCTTCTGAATATGTTTTACTGCTGAATCCATAATCTTTTTATGCCTTATCTTTAGTTTTAGACTCTTACTCACCACTTTCCTTTTCCGTTCCCTCTCTTGACATTTAGTATTGATCAGGTCAAGATACATAGCTCTACGTAACCAAATTGAACAACAGCTAAATTATTTTCCCCTTCTCCAAAAGTACTCTTGATGTAAATCCATACCTATTTCTGTGTTCCTACTAGTCAGCTTCTGTTTGCAATTAGAATTTGCTTCTTTAGCTCCTTTTTGCACAAAGCTAGAAGTCTAAATGTTGTTAACGTGCCATAAATTGCACCCTTTTGTATCTTCATCTGAGATTTAAGAAGCCAAATGAATTTTTGTTCCTAATTCCACAAACCAGAGTCACAGAATGTGAAACTATAGGAATTGGTGCCAGTTGTACACGCTGTCCATGCTGTTATAGTGGCTGTGCAGTGGACAAGGTTGGAACTTTAGATCCGCTGCCTGCTTCTCTGCCATGTGAGCTAATGGAGTAACTGATACCAATAGCAAGTTATACTCTAGATGCACCAATAATAGATTGGGATGGGACACCTTTTGCCAGTGGATTTCACATCTATTTGCTGACCGTAGAGCAACGGCGAACTTGGGAAACTTGGTTGTGTTACAGATTCTGGAGAGGAGTGTGCTCTGGTGAGCACAGACTCTTTTGCTGGTCTCCATGGGCCTTCTACTTCAACCTTTACACCCTTCGTAGTTCCATTTCCCCCCTCCTTGGACTTTGCATTTCATTTTATATCACATTACCTGAGTAAGGTGATACATATGGAATTTCCATATATTTCAAATAGTAGCTAAGGCTGTTAAAAAGTTCCATTGCTATATTACCTAGAGAAAAATGGAGGCCTTGAGAATAAATATTCATCTTCTTTGTAACCAAGCAACCTAACTTCTCTGCTTGATTTATAGGACAAACTGGATGGATTTGTTCCTGCTCACTTCCTTGGCTGGTACCTAAAAGTAAGAATTTGTCTCTTCTGTGTTCAGATATTTTCATTAGCGTTGTTCTGCCTTTAAAGCTTGACTGCTTCTGCTTCAATGTTACCAGTGTTCAGAATCAATTATGTTAGTCAGTCATCCGTGAACTAGTTTAAATAAGTGTTTTCATAATAATAAAAGACTTATTTTTTTCTGACTATAGTAGGTCATTTAATTTCTTTTCTGAATAGTGTTCCACTAATAAGTTTCTGTTTCCACAGAGATGATTCATATGAAGGGGTCAGGTGGATAAAATGAAGAGTATGCAAAACCAAAGTCCTTTATTTTCTCAGCACCCTAAATATTTGAGTGATCTGAACATAAACTGTGGAAAAGATATATACTGTGTAGGCTGTGGAAAAATTATCATTCATCCAGATACATTATATACCAATATAATTACACATGTTAAGCACTTCATAATTTCCAAATAAGCTTCTGGTTCATAACTTAGAAATACTTCGAAGGAGCAATACCTTAGTCTCTGTGATTGTCAGCATGCACGTACCAAACATAGAAGTGCCAGCTGAATTTGTTTATAGCAGAACATGGTCGATACATGGGGTATTGAACATTTAGGTCTAAGTTTGATTCTCTTTTGTTCAAGTGAATTGACTAACAAGTTTTACTTTACTTAGCATTCCTTGTTGATGTTAAATTCTATGTCCTCTCCTGATCAACATCATTCACAGAAGATTAAACTTTAATTATAAAATAGATAATTGTTTTCACTATACTTCCTACTTCCCATTCAAAAATGCAAAAGTTGATGCTGCTGTATTAATTTTCCGCAAATAGAGAAGAGCTTGCTAACCTATGTAAGACTGTTTTGAACATAGCAAAATAATTGGACCTTTTTGAATGTATATGTGGGATATCAGAGGAATATTTGTGTCAGTCTGATACTCCTAGATCTAGACAATTTTCAGAATGAGATTCCTGTTGCATTCATGTAATATTTTCCTTTATAAAAACAAATTTAACAAAACTTAGTGTAATTACCTAGAAAAGTGAGGATGAAAAGACATAGCGCCAATAATAACAAGGCTTTTGTATGAGCTAACATGAGTTAGGGTAGGAAACAGGTTTGTTTTTCACATGTGAAAAATCTAAAACGGCAGTTCCCTCCTGATAGGTGAGGAGTGGGGGCTCTATTCAGATGTGTAGAGGAAGATCAAAGCTGCACCCCATAAATTAAGTGCATCACTGAGATGATCTTGTAGGAAATTTCCACTTAATGCCTCCTAAGCAGGGTCACTTGGAGAGTATGGGTGAACACGGCCATATTGCTGACTTGAGTACAGTTGGCTGCTTTGATAATTGCGTTAAGCAAGCTGGAAGAGTCTTTTCTGAGCAGCCCCAAAACACTGCTGGCTGCTACCACCTTTACCTGGTGGCAGAGGCACACAGTAATAGACTCCTGCATTTGACTTGCATTTCCTTCTGTTACTGTGTCTTGCTTGCCTGCTTTTATACCTTTACAAGGTATTCTCCAACATAACTTTACCTCCTTTTCTTCTTTTAGACACTAATGATTCGGGACTGGTGGATGTGTATGATCATCAGTGTAATGTTTGAATTTCTGGAGTATAGTCTGGAACATCAGCTTCCAAACTTCAGTGAATGTTGGTGGGATCATGTATGTACTGCATTCTGTATACCTTCAGTGCTGAAAACGACTTGATTAGCTCACCTATCTGTGGCCCAAATAGACATGTCAATCTAGTGATACTGTTCTCTGGCATTGGATTGATGTAGCTGGTGAGCATACATGTACCACCTCTCAGATGTAAACTTATTCAGCTGTGTATTATGCACATGCAGGTGATTGTTGAGTTTAGCTCAGCACCCACTTCCCCTTTCTTTAACAGATTAAAACTGTGTTTGTTATTTAGTACAAAATCCTTTCCTTGTTTTAGAATTGCCCAACTATCAGTAAATGTATAAATACCTTTACTGAGAAACATTTTGTGGCTTTCATTCTGTGGAATGGTAGCCTTATTGTACACAATTACGTGCTCATTCATATTTCTTTGTTCCTGCATATGTTGTATATTTCACATGAATGTGTTCAGTGTATACCCTTCTTTAGATACATCTTTCTGACAACAGTATAAATCACAATATTTCAAAATTGAGGAATCCAGAAAAGGTTTCTGTTCATTTGACAACAAACATAGGTGCTTTTCAGATGACTTTAAATTAAATTAAATTAATGGAGATTGCCTATCTCCTAGAGCTGGAAGAGACCTGAAGGTCATCGAATCCTTCACAGCAGGACCAAGTACCATCCCTGACAAACTTTTGCTCCAAATCCCTAAATGGCCTCCATAAGGATCGAACTCACAACCCTGGGTTTAGCAGGCCAATGCTCAAACCACTGAGCTATCCCTTGCTGCAGTAAATTAAAATCTTATCTTAACCAGGTCCCATCTGTTGCTCAAATTAGAAAGTCTTCCCAGTGCTATTTTAAAAATTTAGTTTTGCAGCATAGATGAGACTGTACAATGTCTCAATTATGCAGACCTCCAAGAGATGGCTTAAGGATTCATAACACTTAGATTTTAAAACCAGATGGCACTAATGTAATTTAGTCTGGCCTAAGGATGTTAAATATTGGTTAATTTACTAGTCAAGTAGTCGATGGAATTTCTATTGACTAGTCGATAGGCACGTCTTCATTCCGCCTTTGGAATGTACAAGAGTCCCTGCTCTTGTGTGGGGACTGCTCATTGCACAGCAGTCCACTGATGCTGTTGGCCTCTCGGCACCATTCTCCGACTCTCCGCAAGCCGAAACGCGGCGGGGCAAATCTCCAGGGTCTAAGAAGGATAAGCCCAAGAGGCAAATACTGTTGGCCCTTCTGGTGCAGCACAGCAGAACCCTCTACCTGTGGCTCCCCCTCTTGCCTCTGCAGTACCTTTACAGAGCGGCATTGAACAACTCCAGGTGCCATTGACATTGGAGGCCTTTCAGGTGGCCTTTGTAAGTGTGAAAGGGGCTGAAACCCTCCGACTTACGTCCTCAGCCCTCATTTACAACGACACACAACACCTATTGTAAATGAGAGTTCGAGGTACGACACCCCCCGGAAACCAATCACGTTGCAAGTCAGGGGCTGCCTATATCTCTCTTCAGCCCACTGGCAGCCCTTCCATAGCTGCTCTCAAGCCCATTACAAGCCGACTGGTCACTGATGCCTGCACTGCAGGTCCCCAGGCAATCGGAACCATTCCCATCGCTCCTCCGCATGCTGGGTGTTGGCACCAGTGGCCCGTGTGTGGTACTGCACTGACACCAGCTCTCATTTATGGTTGCCCAGCACTGCGCGCTTTGTTGGCCTGTCCTCGGACCAAGCCTCGATGCCTCTCGCTCAAGCACCTCATCGGACACCCTCGAAACCACAGATGGATTTCCAGATTGCTCAGTGGCCACAGGCCTGGCGAAATCCAATAGTATCCTTGGAGCCTATGGGGAGTTCCCTGTGCTGTCCCAGACACCATGCTCAGTAGCCAGCATGTCTGTGGCATTGGCAGCATCCTCCACTAAGTGCCCTCTGGTATCAGAAGTCTCAAGGGCTGCCACCCTGCAAGTGGAACAAGAGTTGGAGGTGCACAGCCTTCAGCCTTTTCGGGTCCTAAAGAGGTCCTTCCGATGCAGGCCTCTTTCTCCTCCTCCTCCTCACCTGATGCAGCCATTGTGGGGTACCCTCCAGAGGTCCCCAGGGATGACACACGGCCCCATCAAGAATTCCTAAAGAGGTGGCCACCAACCTGAACCTTCAGGTGGAGGAACTCAACGGGCCGGAGTATACCCTCTTTGGGGTGCTAGGACAGGCAGCCCCTGCCAGGGTGGCCTTACCCCTCCACAACAGGGTGGCCATGATTGCTACTGCCCTATGCCAAACACACATATCTATTCCCCCCATTTCCAAGCAGATGAAATGCAAATACTTAGTTCCTGCCAAGGGGCATGAGTGTTTCTATTCTGTCCTAACTCCCAGTTTCCTGGTTGTGAAGGCCATCGGCCCAGGGGAAACCCAGAAAATAAAGACTTGAGGAGACTTGGATTTATTCGGGTACAAAATTTATTCATCCTCCAGTCTTCAATTCTGGGTGGAAGATGGACCTGAGCAACACATCTTGAAGAACAGCAGTTATGAAAACAGTTAATTGTCCTTTCCAGCACCCTATGTTCTTTAAGACATTTCCACCAGAGAGGGGACGTGTAGAGCCACAACCACATTGAGCAACGGGAGATCATTTTACAGTAATAGGACAGATGATAAGAATGTTTACTATTCTCCCTGCGTAAAAATCTGGTGCCCATCAAATATGTATTTAGGCAGCAAGGCTGGCAGGAAGTGAGAGGCCTGTGTCCTAAGAATCTTAGGATTGGATGAACTAGCTATTCCTTTTTTTCAATGAAAATACGTACCGGCACGTAACAGTGTGAGCATTTCCCTTTTACAATTGTCACTAAATAATTAAGCGTGTGTGTGTGTGTAAAATACTTTTCTTCCCCCCCTTTTAGTGGATAATGGACGTAATCCTATGCAATGGATTTGGGATTTATTGTGGAATGAAGACTTTGGGATGGCTTTCTTTGAAAACATATAAATGGCAAGGACTTTGGAACATTCCTACCTACAAGTATGTTACTTTTAGAAGTCTTCTGTAACCAAAAGTAGCAGAACTCAAATGAGTTTGGGGATTTTATTTCAAACTAGAGGATTTACCCAGTCTTGCTTGGGTACTTGTGTGGGGAGGGGGGGTCAGGGTGGAGTGTGGGGGCCAGGGCAGGATGTTGGGGGTGGGGGTGGGACTCCGGGTAAGGTATGGTGGGTGCAAGAGTCAGCGTAGGAGGTTGAGCATGGGGGAAGGCTCAGAAGAGGGGATTGTGTTAGGGGAGTAGCCCAAGCTAGCAGGGCAGCAGTTCCCCTGGGATGGCAGGAACTCTGCTGTCCCCTGGGGCTGGCTGGAGTGTCTGGGGCTGCCAGGTACAGTGGCTGGCAACAGCCAGAGCCATGCTCCCAACTGGTCTCTGTTCCTGATGCGGCTGCCCCCCTGTGGTCATTTGTCAGCATGACAGTCACTGCTAGCAGACCCCTCCTTTTCAGTTTGGTTAGAGATAATCAAATTCTAGGCACGTCCCATTGTCCTTGCACAGCCAAAGCCTGACCTTGCTTCAAGTTATGATAAGAGGAAGCTGCCTACTAAATTTGGTGGTCCTAGCTCTTATAATTTAGGAGTTCTTGAACAAACAGACTCAGAAAGACAGATGCACATAAAAGCGCTCTCAAACATATAGTAGACTAGCAAATTTACCCACCTTTGCTTGGGTCAAGGAGGGGCTATGGGCAGGGGGTTGTGGGTGTGGGGAATGCAGGAGTCAGGACACGGGCTTGGAGATGGTTGAGGGCTCAGGGCCAGGGTGCTGGGAGTGTGGGCATGTAGGAGTCACTGTTGGAGGGGAGGAGAGGCTCAGGGCAGGGGATTGGGAAGTGTGGGATAGCTAAGGAGAGGGGGTATCCACTGCCGCCACCCCCCCTCCCCTCCCAATTTGTACAGAAAGATTCCTGGCTCTTCCCCGTCATCTAACCATCTAAATTATGCATTGTGGTTGTGTCACTGAAAAGTGTATTTAGTGAAGATTGAAGCATATGCAATAATAGTGGGTTATTTTGTGACCACTGACACGGAGTTAAATATTAATGGAGACTTTGTTTCATGTAGTGACTTGAATTTCTGAAAATTCATCATTCCATAATGGCATCTTCCATGTTGCCATTTCTAGATTTCACACTGAGTTGTGTGGAAATCACGCATGTTTATAAATCAAGCTGAAATAAATACAGACAGGAACTACAGAATTTCTTATCTGAGGATAGAAAATATTTTTGTGAGTAAGGGTGTCCTCTAATTTAGTTGTGTCCAGATCAAGAACATTAAAAGCTTCAGTATAGTTACACCATTATTCCTTCTACTCCTGTGTTTTAAAAATATCTTTTGATAATTGTCTCTAATGTGCTACTGGTATAGAATTAGGTTTGTGGAGGCTGCTCTTACTTGATGAACCTAGGATAAAAGCTACCTACTTAATGTAGATTTAGATTTGTAAAAATTAAATTTATATGTGTTTAATGGGCTTTTAAATAGGAGTACATTGATTCCCTGCAGCTTTCATTTAAACATGAGTATAATACAGGGTGAATAGAAGTCCCCTAGCTCAGTGCAGAAAAGCTTAGTGGCTTGAAACGATGCCTGATTTTAAACAATTTAAAAATGTGTTTCTAAAGAATGGATATTTTCTGTTTCTTAAATCTGGTGTAAGAGTGATGTGTGATGGCTCTCTTTCAGAGGTAAAATAAAGAGAATCGCTTTCCAGTTCACACCCTATAGCTGGGTCAAATTCGAGTGGAAGCCAGCATCCAGCCTGCGCAGATGGCTAGCAGTTTGTGGCATCATCTTTGTAGTAAGGAAACTTCTCTTTAAACTTAAGTGATAAAATTACTTGTTTACAACAGTCATAGATGTGTTAATAGTATTTTTGGTTTTGATTTCTGCCAATTCTAGCTGTAATATATGTGGCACCCTGGAATTGGGACTGTCTATCTTTCTGTCTCTAAATTGGTTTTCAAAAATATTTTTAATCTTGAATGCTATACCTCATAAGTAGTTTAACATGCAGGCTAATCATCATTAAATTAATAAATTCTGCTGCCCAAAATTCAGATTTTGTATGAAAATATCCTTATTGTTCCCCATTTACAGACAAGTTGGAGAGAGCTCCAAACCAGAACCTTGGAGCTCAGCACTTCAGGCTCTGGGCAGTATGCATCTAGAGCACAGTGTTTGGGCTCAATACTTTTGAACTAAAATATCAACTAAAAAAAGACAACCAAAGAATTTGATGATCATACTGGCCACTCAGTTTTGTCTGGCTCTGCTTACTAGTGTGACTAAAAACATGATGGTTCTGAGAGCTATATAAATATATATCTAGTGTAAACAGAGAAGTGCCAAAATTCAGCAGACTGAAATGCTTTTGATTTTTTTCTCTAGATACTGTATTGATTGTTTGCATGATGCTATTATAGAATACTAGAACTGGATGGGACCTCGAGAGGTCATGAAGTCGAGTCCCCTGCCTTCATGGCAGGACCAAGCATCATCCAGCTCTATACATGTAATCTGTACATTTAATAAGCAGAGTGTTCTAACAGCTACGTACTCATTCTGCAAATTAGTTAAGGATGAATGATTGCTATGAAAATCTGATGGCCTTTTTAGCTGAAGGGTCATCTAGCATATTTTTCTAATACAATTTGTTTTGTGGGATGTCTTAGATTGACATGTATTCTAAATTCACACTTACTGGAAAAGATAAATTACAGGTTTGTGGAACTGTCCTTTTGGAGCAAGTGATAGTTGTAATTAACAACTTGTGGGCACACCTACAACATATGTTGGGCACTTTGCAAACACATAGATGCTAATCAATTTGAATAAAAATTCAGACTACCAAACTTTCTATAATGTAAAATTTGTCTTATATGTTAGATTCATAAACTACAACTGCTTTGTGCCGATAATACGATTTTTATGGGCATTGAAATAAACAGCAATGTTAATTAAAACAGTCTGCATATCTATGAAGAGATCCTTGCACCCAGCATAAAAGTAACTTACATGCACAGTAGAAAGATCTAACCATTAGTTAGCAGTGCCTATTGCCAAATACAAAGAAGCTGTCAAGTTCATGTTAGCCATAGGCAAACTCAAGTCATAGTGATTGATTCTCTTGGCAAAAACAGCTTGCATCTGATTTGCAACTGTTAAACTAGCTCCATCTTGTTGATTCCATTCATAACTTGCTAACATTTTTCATTATATATAGTCTAGAGCAAGAAACATCCTTCAATCCAGTTAATCTACCATAATAAACATAACTGAAATTACTGCTGCTCTCACTTTTAAACTTCAGTTCATCTACAAACTCACTAAGTAAATATTTAATTACAGCTGCTCAATGAGGTCTTGTCAGTGAGACTTATGTAATTATTGCCCAAAACTGGATCTTGTGCCTGTTTCCTGATATTTTGTGTCTCTAAAATCAGACTCCTCGGTGGCCATTGGAAGGACAACATTTATGCTTTTAGGACTCATTCATTTTAGAACTATCGCTACTTAAAATCCCCAGATAAACTTGGCTACAACTAAAGATAAGGTCACTGCCATACTTTACTGATGCCTCACCATGTGCCTTAGAAAAACATTATTTTAAAAAAAAATTCCAGTTGCTTCTATGAGCCCCGCCCCATAAAACTCTGTAATGTTCTTACGGCACATGACAAGTGCTCATATCTTGATGGAGGGTAGAGTATGTGAGCTGGGACATAGTAAAATATTGTGGAACTGTGTCAGCAGGGGGTGAGGGCTGCTCCGGCCCACCCCTGTTCAGTCCATTAACCGGTTAAACTTCACATTTAACTGGTTAATTAATTAAATGGGATTTTGCATGCCTAGGTTGGCCCTGGCTTTACTCACTGACCCTTTTTTAATTGTAATAATTTAATGGTTTTTTTCTTCAGTTTTTATTGGCAGAGCTGAACACGTTTTATTTAAAGTTTGTCCTGTGGATGCCACCTGAACACTACTTGGTCCTGTTACGACTTGTCTTCTTTGTCAACGTGGGAGGTGTGGGCATGAGGGAGATCTACGACTTCATGGATGACCCGTAAGCCAGTCCTCATCTATACAGTGTCAAGCTTCAAGCACTTTCTTTTTAGCCTTGCTGCAGCTTGTTGGTGAAAGCACAGTAGAAGTGAATCAGTCTGTTGGGGCAAAAACCCCTGCACTTGCTTTATTTTCCAATATTTACCTTGAATGTAAAACATATCCCCTCTTGTAGGCTACATGTGGTGATAGCAGGGGTCAGTGTAGAACTTTTTACATATGCAGTATTAAATTTCATTTTTTCTTGAACAAAAAAATTACTATATTATTTGAGAATGTTCTATAAACATTTAAATGATCTAGATCACTATTGGGTTTTTGTGTCTGGGAACACTGAACTCCTCTTTCACATTTACAAGCCTGGTGCTACAGTCTTAAGACTTAGCTTCTAAGGACTGCATGGTGTAGCCCTAAACCCTTTCTCTGAAAGATGCTTCTTTCTTAAGCTATTTTCCAACATTTTTCTGGTCCTCTGGAGCTTTTGCGGCACCGTCTTGCAAATTGGAGGACCCTCTAGTGATGCTTTTTAGGGCAAAGAACCCTTTCCCCCACAACAGTGTATATACTAGGCACTCTGTCAGATTGCTCCTATTTAAGCATCTTATTTGACCTTGCTGCTTTTGTTCTTTCTGCACACTGTAAGATCTGAGAGTGCTTAGTTCTCAAGTTCAGTTTTTCTGTTAATTTACAGTGGTAATGTCACACATTGGCTGATCCCGCTTCTTAAGGCTGACACTACCTCTGGCTTCAAGGGATGCTCGTTGTCTGTCACTGACCAACACAAAAAGTGTCTGTGTTCAGAATTCAGGGTTTCAGCACTCTGAAGATCAGTTTCACTTGCAAGGCTTTGACTCGTATAACTGGAAAGAAGGGTCACTCAGATTATTTAGTCGGATTTAAGGACGTTCCCCAGTGTCCCCTGGTGTTGGACCTACTGGTTTGGGACATGCCTCCATCTCAAAGGTAAGACGAGGTCTCTACCTCTTATTGGTGAGTTCCTCTCCTTAGCAGCACACCCCATCTTCTGCTCCCTGTGTTTCAGTTGAGAAAGCAACTCCTTTGCCCTCTGTTCAACTACATGGCATAACATTGAGACTTAGGAGAATCATCAGTCACATCAGTGTCTCATTGCTGAGTCAGCATGTTGCCATTCTTTCAGTGAGCTGAGTCGCATAAATGAGGAATTCATTTAGTGAGCAAACTCATCCCAAGTATCATATCAACGCCACCATCTGTGCCTATCTTTTTGTTTCACTTGGTAGGTCAGGTGACCACTGTTGGCACATTTGAGATTCAGTTCTTCTGATTCATCAGCAGACCTAACCTCCGTAGGATCTTTAGGGAAGGCTGAGGAATCTAATGCCACTGGTATCTCATTAATATCCTCTGTCTGTTTCTTTAGTTCCTCCCCTGCCATCACACCAGAGATGACAGTCTGCTCTCTTTTCCCCCGCCTCTCTTGGTGTTTGTTTCACTCCAAATCACCTTGAGTCAAGAACCTTTGGTTGAAGTCTTCCAGTTTTGGACTGTAAGAAGTAGCTGTTGGTGAAGAACGGGCTGTTCTGGATACTTACTTCCTAGGGTACACTCCAAACACATCCATCTGTTCCTTTTGAAAACCCTCTTAACTCTCGAAAAAAGAAGAAAGCCTAGGATGTTCCATTGCCCACCTGTTGCCTAAATCAGCATCAAGATGCCTTATTCCTAGGTGACAAAATTGTTGCAGAGCTAGCCAAAAATCTAACCAGCTTCCATAATGCTATAGCATTCAGCATAGGGTGCAATAAAGCTGAACAAAAAATATTCATCTTCTCTTCTGATTCAGGATCATTTGTGATCTTTTCAACAATTTAGTGTCTGTGTCTCTGGAACTTTCTGGTCTTCCTAATAGAGCATCTACAATTTGCATTAATGGGCCATGAGACTTTCCAATATCCCACATATCTCATCATAATTGGAGGATTGCCATAGTTAAGAGCAGAAAAGCTCTGAATCCAGAAGGATTCTACTGTGGTGTGGTCTTATCTGTTAGAATGTAATTCCAGATGCCATCACCTTTCTGTATCTTCCTGTCTCAGCTGTCAGGCCTTCTCCAGAAAGCCTGGAGTACTGCCCTGGATTTTATTCTTGGTCCTCAAGCAGAAGAGTGATTTCCTTTCAAATTCTTTACCAAACAAAGAGCCTGTAATTCGATTGTGTTCCTTCAACACTCTGAGCGTGGCCCTTGCATCAGTGGTCACCTGGGATTCTTAGGTCTCTCATATAAGCAAAGTTCCCGAATAATGGCTTTATAATCAAAGCATATGAAAATAGCCAGCTTTCTGCTTTGCTCATGTAGTCTCCTAGATCGGAACAAGGTTCTTGAAATACTTTGTTTCTCTCTCTCTCCCCATTTGTTAGACCATATTTCCATCTTAGCCTATTTACCGCTAGTCTCATCAGGCAATACCTTATACTTCAGCTCCAAAGTCCCATTTTTCTAGAGTCAGGAGACTTTTCGAAACTGAAGGATATCTTTCCAAATCCATCTGCATCAACAGTAATTTTTGCTCCATTTACCCGATTTTGTTTTCCCCAATATACTTGGGCCATTCTGCCTAACTTGAGACACAGTGGTGGTGTCAACCTTTTGGTCTCAAGGGAGCATGATAGTTTTGATTGGATTTACCTGAGTAAAGGGGGTGAGCCAGAGGTGGGCAGCCTGAGGCCTGCAGGACACATACAGCCCATCAGGGTTCTACGTGTGGCCCATGAGCAGGGTTGCCCGATTCCAATGCTTTCTATCCATGTAGTGGCTTTCCTACCAGTATTACTCAAATGACATTCAAATAAAGCGAGGTGTGTGCTGATTACACATAACATTGACTGTGAGAGCTGTGTGCTTCCTCTGCATTCAGTAAAAGCTCTGTAACTGTTCAGTCGGCACACCCTACAAATTCTAGATATGCAAGTGCAGTTAGCAAAACTGCCCCATCCCAGGAGACCATCTTGATTACAACAAACTTGCGGCTGACTAAGATGGAGGAGGGCCACTTATGCCGCCCGCTCACTTGCCTGGGTTGCCCATCACTGGGGTAGGCTGTTCTAGGATAGATCCCCTTCCCTATACAGCCACCAACTGCAGCCCAGGGGAGGGGGAAATGGAAAGCTGTGAATGAACATCTAGTGATGGTTCGTAAGTTCTCTGCCCCAGTACAGAGGAGAGCAACCTAGAGGTATTCTAACTTTCACTAGCTGGGAACGGTCCCCAAGGGACCATGCACCATGTACAAATAGCAAGAGTTTAGAGAGCTCCAGCCACACTCTGGTCCATACCATACCACCTGCACCAGAAGCTACAGGAGAAAGGCATCAGCCCTATAGACCAGTCAGATTTATGGATGACTTTTGCTCCTTGTGCACTGCCTAGCAGAACAAGGTAGAGACCATCCCAAAGTATTGTGTGTGGCCGCTGAGCTTTGTCCTTTTTCCACACATTTAGTGCTCCAGAGGAGCCCCAGCAAGGTAGATGCTCCAGAGGAGCCCCAGCACGGTAGATGTTATGACCAATCTAGAAATGCCTACTGGGCAGGTGTCCCTTCCTTTCTACATTACCCAGCTTTGAAAAGAATTGCTGAGGGGAGCATTGTAGTCATCCTGACCTGTCATTCCCTCAGACTTTTGTAGCTTTCTAGTTCCTGTTCTTCCCCAGGTGGCTTCCCATCTTCTGCTACTCTGTGCTGTGCTCCCTGGTTGTTTCACATAACAGCTTGAGATGCGCTCAGAGTGGATGACCATGGGAGGTCTGGGCAAAGGGAGGGAGCATGTAGGGCAGTGAACACAGAATAAGGGAAAAATCAAGTGAGAGAGGCTATTCAAAGAAACAGCTCTCCAGTGCATGATTTAATAAGGAATAATGGTTGATTCTTTGTATGATTTTGCCTCTGCTTTTTAACAAAAGTCAGAGTGGGAAGGTGTCAGAAGCACAATTCAGTCATCTCTGTTAGGGCTTTCATTAGTTAAATTAAGTTCTGACTTTGTGTTGTGGGTCACAAAGAGAAACTTCTGTTTAGAGAGAGGCTATAGAAGATGCTGATAGAAGGCTTGAAGATTAGCTGTTGGGGGTAGAAGGGTACAGGAAGGTGTCTAGAAATGTGTAGTGGCAGTGTCTGTAGCTGTCTCATACACCAGGGATAGTCTTTTTGTTTAATTTGTACAGTGCCTCGCATAATCCTCATCCTTTCCTTGAGTTTCTAGGCTCTATGGTGATACAGATAATAATCCCACAAGTGTTTTGAAAGGATATTTAGGAAATGTTTCAGGATAGTTAGATTGTAGACTAAAACATCCAGTGCAAAATGTCTTCACAGCAGTCAAGGATTGGTTTCACTCCAGTCTCTTAAATACTACTTCTGCACGTGAAATGGGTTAGATTTAAGATTATGTATTCCTGTCCTCCCTCATATTTTTAAAAAGGTATATTGCACTGCACTTTTGCTACTAAAATACTAATCACTTAACCTCTCTGTTTCAGTAAGTTCCATAAGAAGTTGGGTCAACAGGCATGGCTAGTTGCTACTATCACAGTCACAGAGTTCCTGATTGTTGTGAAGTATGACCCCTACACCCTAACGCTGTCCCTTCCTTTCTACATTACCCAGTGCTGGATCCTGGGAATCCTACTTGTGCTCACCTGGACAATATGGCGCTTTTTCATTCGGTAAGCAAAGATGATAGAGCTCTGATTACAGTGAGCACCATAGTACCAAGACCAGGCTTAGCCAGACGACATGAAGAGAAGCTTATTGTAGAACGAGAGACTTTCAAAGTGTGTAGTTTTGAAACTATATATAACTAGCGGATGTACCTGGCATAGCTTGGGTCCATAGCGCAATTAAGATTTTTTTTTTTTGTAAATAAAAGGAAAAAGTACGTACTTTATGTAAATGATTATATTTTTGAAAAATACAATGTTATATGTATGAAGTTAACTTTTATTTTTGATATCTTCAAACAGGTATTGTTAAACATTTTTCCATTTTTAGTAATTTTTTAAAATGAGTGCCATCAAATGTAGTTTTTTCTTCATTCCTATAAACTCTTATCATTCTCTGTTTTAACAATAAAAGGGCTATAATCAGTTTCATTTCTAATAACATTTTCTTCTAGTTTTCAAATCTTAAGCGTTGATTTAGCTGAACCAAAACAGAGCAGTACTCCAGATTTCTCCATTTTATCCCTTTTCTATAAGGTTTATTGAAAAACAATGCCTTTTCAGGAACACCCAATTATTCTGCTTCATCTTGGTTCAGTCTCTTTCAACATTTGCTCAGTTGTGTCAATTTTGAGGCCTGCACTTGATTTGGTAATTGTCTCTTTTCTGTTTGGTTTTATGAGAAGAAATCCCATTCCAGGCACATCCCATTTTCCTGGCACAACCAAACCCTGACCTTGCTTTAAGATATAAGACTAAGCTGTATACCAAATTTGGTGGTCCTGGTTCTTACTGTTTAGAAGGAATTCTTGAACAGACAAACTCTCTAAAATATATATACTAGATTTAGCGTTTTCAGGGGAACACATCTCTTACCAACATCTTATTGAAAATGTGTAATATCAAGCCTATTTGTAAGATTTTATTAGTCTTCAGTGCGCTTTATCTGCAATGCTTGACTCTATTTAGTACAGTTTAAATATAAATGTAAACAGAATCCTGACAGCCAACATATAACTGCTTGTTTTAAAGAACTTAGACTAGATTTCAGATTTCTAGTTAGATGACCCTTACACATTGGTGTGTATTTTTGAAGTGAGAGCCAGCTGTATATATCAGATGCTCAGTATCCCATAGCCACAACTGTCACAAGTCATTAGAGAATTTGGATTCCCAATTTGAGATACTCTACTTTCTGAAAACTGGGAGTCTTTAAAAGTAACCCCCTCTAAAAATCAGGACTCTTCAAGACTTCTCAAGTTGGGTACCCAAATTCACTGATGAGTTTTGAAAATGTTGGCCTATATTTTAGACCATTCAGCTCTGTTTCAACAACTACTTTGTGACACTAATCACAAAGTCTCATTTGGATGATCAGAATGCAAATATTGTCTGAAATCTAAGTGATGAGACCATCATGGTCAAAATGCAAAAATGGCTCAAATGATTTTTATGAAACGTAATAATAATAATTAATAATAAATGATTGTGTGGTGATCAACCACTGGAAATTTCAGCCTATACATAATTTGAGAAGTTGCTGAATTAGCTACTGAAAGTAGGGTGTTAGTTTAAAAGTACAATCTCAACCTGAACGAAAAGCTCCACTAGCTTAATACCCAAGATATTTACCCAGACTGTGTATATGCCTATGCAAAATATATTGTATGAAACATAAAGGGAGTGTGGTTGTAAAGATGGTGGTTGGGAGACTTAAAATTTTCAGGATGATAAACGTAACTTTGACGACAGCAGCAGGTGTGTACACATGATATATTGATTTTATATCAGGCCTGGGCAGGATACAGCCTACCAAGCCACCAGATCCGTCCCACAGATGCAGCAGGGAGCCCCAGCCACACAACGCTCAGAAACACAGCTGCTGGGCAGTTTCACTTTAAAATCTGAGAGGCCAGAGAGAGGAAGACTTTAGGAACTGTTCCTGCCCCCGGCACAATCCCATTGGTCGGGTTTTGGCCTGAAACTGGCCAATGGGAGCTGTCTGTTTCAATAACAGGCAGCCAAGAAGCACCATGATCCCTTCTCTCCGAGACTCGTAGTTATTCACAGAGCACATGGCTGCAGCCTGTGTGGGGATGGGACAGGCAGGGATGCCGCTTCAGGAAAGTTCTGAGCTGCTGGCTGGTAAGTCTCCTGGCCAGAGCCTGCCTTTGGCACCCCAGCCCCTCTCTCCCCCAACCCTCTGTCCCCTGCTCCACATTCCCAAATCCTCTGTCCCCCTCCTGCACCCGTATCCTCTCCCAGATCTGGCACCCCCATTCCCTACCCCAGATCAGTCCCCTCCTGCCCTAGCTCACAACCCAATCCCCTGCACCCCCTCCTGTACCCCTATTCCCTACCCTAGGTCACAGTCCAACCCCCTGCAGCTCAGTCCAGTGTCCCTTCACCCAAACTCCTTCCCTTACCCCAAGCTCCCTTCTGCAACTAACCTCCATCCCAGCCCCCACACCTGATCCATTAATATCATGGAAGAGTATGGCCCTTGACCACTTTCCAAATTCTTGGAGTGGGGCGCGCCCCCCCCCCATCAAAAATTATTGCCAACCCCTGTTTTATGTGCTCTTGACCACTTGCCTAGGTGGTAGGGTCCCCTTTCAAAAGGCTACAATCATTCTCACTAGCGGGCAGAAGGTAACCCAAGCTGAACTGTTTCTAAGCATAATGGGCAATTCCCTTAGCATCTACCTTAGTAGCAAGAATTCCCTTGCCATATGTTCTTGCTAAAATATCTGAATGCAGAAGCAAGACAGACTAGTTCGCAAGTACTTCCAGCAGGCAAATAGACAGGGATGTGTTACTGTGTGGGCCCGGCAGACAGTTTTCCTGTGTGTTGTCTGGAGAAAAACACATAGTCTGTATTTTTTCCATGGAACTAGCCTCTAGTATTGTCACTAAACATCTGAAGGTGCATAACTGCCTATTGGTATAGTGCCCTGACAGAGGAAATGAAGATGGTAAGTAAGATCAAAAAGTTAACTAGCCCAGGAGTGAGGAGACCAAAGAGAGAGATGCCTTTATAAATAGGGATGTAAAAATGCATTTAAAAATGTAACACTGTAACTGCTAAAAATCGTAGCAGTTACATGCGCTGCGGGCTTTGCAGTATGAAGCTTCAATAAGCTTTATACTGCAGAGCCTCCCTGGGAGTGGGACCAGCAAGGGAATTTGCTGCAGGCTCTGCAGCCAGCTCCCTAAGAAAGGGACAGGAAGCACTTTCTGACCCTGCTCCCATGAGACGGTGTGTAACCTGTGATGGAATAGGGAGTGGCCCAGGCTTGCCATAGACAGAGGCTGCTCTGGTGGTCCCCACAAGGCTGGAATAACCCCCTGCCCAGGACAGATGGAGAGCTGCTCCAGCCTCTAGCAGTTAACTGGAACAGGTAACCCTCACCCATTAAGGATGAGGCTTTACCAGTTAACCTTTTACATTCCTAGTTATAAGAACTGTGCTATTTTGCTGCTATCCTGGCTCAGTTTCCCCTAATTCCCTGGCGCACAATCTAATGACATTTGCTCAGTTTGGGCACTATTTGAGTGTGACAGACTCCACCAGCCAGTAGAATAGAGGGAGTTTATTGCTTCTCCAGCACAGCATCGATGTAATCTGGTTACAAGGCAGGCTTAGGATGCCTCAGCCCCCCTAGAGATGGGGAAGACTGGTCCCCTAAATTCCAGACCCTTCCCTAGGCTGCCTCCTTCATGATCCCAGCCAGGAAGACTCCCCGTCTCTTCCAGCCCTGCCCCCCCAGCCAGGGCTGACCTCGCCCTCCTTCTTTTGTTCCGCTCCCCGGGAGGTAACTGGTTGGACAGGTTCAGAGCCCCTTGCATGACTCATCCCCTGCCCTGCTGGGCCGTGCTACAGACAGCAGCCAACGGAGGTCACCCATAGCCCACCACCCAGCAAAGCAACCAGCAAGGTACCCACACTACGTCACAGCAGGTTACAGAGATTACAAGAAAAGTAACCCTGAAGTATTTATATGGAGCCAATGAGTGTAGGTAAAAGACACAACAAAGAAGAGCAGTTGCATGCTTATCTATTTTTCTAGGCTGCAAAAATGAAGGGAAATAGCATGTTCAAGGGTAATGCCTACTGTGGCTGAACTCCTTACCCCTATCCTAAACCCCTACTCATTTTACATATCCCAACATACTCTACCAGTCAGTGCGTGTGGTCAAAGGAATGAGACCAGCCTGTGCATCAGGTCTTACATGGCAGCTGCCCCTTTACAGTTTTACAGAATGCAGCCTGTATTCATTATGCTTCTGGACAGGTGATAGCAATTTGTAAGAACTAGCAATAAATGTTGTTAAACTCTTTATCAACTGAATCCCTGCCCTTACAGAATAAAGGAAGTCCTTAGAAACTTAGTGCTGTAGTTTAATCAAAATGAGCCAAATTATCTGTGTCGTCATGATACCAGGATGTATTTGTCCAGTTATTTGTATTGTAAATCTAAACTGAAATGATTGTTTAACTCAACACACACAATTTTGTTTTGTTTTTAGTGATATTACCTTGCGGTATAAGGAGATCAGACGACAAAAGCAAGAGCACAAATATGAAAAGGACAAATGTGTAAGCAATGGTGATGGACATTCTCCAGTACCAGATGAACAAAATGGGAACAAACTGAGGGAGAGAAAATTTTTAATCCCAGCAACAGACTAAGTGCTAAAAGAATAACCTGTAAAAATCAGCTTGTTTGAGTTGCCTGTCAACCTTATTCTACCGAAAAAGCTTCCATTGTTTACCCAAATCTGAAAATCTTCTGGGGAAAGATGTCACCAAGGAGAAAGGTGGAGAAAGACTACAATTGACAGAAGTCAGAACCTACACTACTGAAAAAGAAGGGATCTTTGCATGTGTGTTATGAATGTGTCTCTTCCTTGCAAAATCAAGGATTTAGAGGAGTTTTAAAACTAAATGCAAAGGGAATCCAGTGATCCTATTTCCAATGCTTCATGATATTTCAGTTTTAACACTGGTTTGTGGGGCATGAGGAACACTCATTGCGTGGACTAAATATACATGGCACTGAACAGTTTTGTATTTCTGCTGAAACTACCTTGAGCTGTGAAGTAATTATGTAACATTGGTTTCATCCACCTATTAGTAAAAGTTTAGGGACAGCAGCAAGATGAACTTGGTGATGTGACTGGAGTGTGTGAACAAATTGCATAACTTGCACAGCATATATTCAGTATACCATTGTTACAGCCCCTGTAATGCTGGGGTTTGCTGCCTTTCTCAAAGCTAATTTGCATTACCATGATGCAACCTATGACTGTTTTGTACTACATCATAGCACTGATTATATAGAAAACCCCTCCTGCTGGTTCTTTTTTATCCAGGTCATCTCTCAACATAATCGAAGTTTAGATCAGAATGTTAACCTCCTTTCGTTACCTAATGGAGTAAAGTGTATTACAAACAGAAAACTTAATTCCATCAAGGTCTTAAGTTACCTGCATTATTTTTCAGAGCTTGCCAAGAGAGCTGCACTCTTGGTTTCCGCTGTGAAGGCAGGTAAAGTTCTGCCATCTTTCAGAGCTGTCCTGTTCCTTCCAGTTCTAAGGGTGATGGTCTAGTAACTGTAAGTGGACTGGGAAATGTGCATTCTGCAAACCACTTGCACAATAAACGACACCAAACATTTGCTGTCCTAACTGACAAAAGAATCAGGCTACCTTGATCACTTGTGGCCCTTTCCTGAGTGATGGTGCTGCATATACCTACTGTTGCCAGCAATACTATGTCTCAGAACAGAATTGGAAAATTGGTGTTCATTTCTAATGTGGCTGCTCCTAAAATGTATTAATCACAGTACAACATCAGTTTGTCCCTTATTGTCCTGGACACAGGCCTCTAATGTAACTGAGAACTTTAACCACATCATTTTTACTCTAAAAATATAGCCGCTTACTAATCATATTAAACACTACTTTTAAGAGAAGCTTATTTATCAAGAAAATAATATAAATACAAAAACAGAGTGAAAAGTCTGAATTTAAACAGCTTTGCTCTCAAACTTTCAATGGTAGCTGAAGACGCTCAAGCTAAAGCTTCTGTCTGCAGCGAAGCACAAATCTTGGACCCATTTTGGGCTCATACTTGAATGACAAGCAAAATGTGTCTCTCCCATGTTGATGGTAATATACTTTTAAACACTGCGCAGAGTAGAATCTACTTGGAAAATTCTCCAGTGTGTGCACCTAAAAAGTGCAACAAATGAAACAGAATCTACGGGCAAAGGAGGCAGGGTCGGTGGAATACAGAGACTGCCCTTCATGATGGTGAGCAGTACATTGAGGGGAGGTTGATCAGTATGAGGGGTCAGATGAGGCTTCTTCCTTGATTGTGCATAATGTACTGTTGTGAGCCCTTTCTCAGCTGCTGTCAAACTCTAGGATTTATCTGCTGTCATGTGATGAATGCTATGGCTGTGTAACTAGATGTTAACAGATTCTTAAATGGATAAATGCTGAGTTGAGCAGATCATGTATTTGTAAAACTTTTTCCACCCCGAGTAATATTTTTACACATTCAAATGTATCCATACCAGTCTTAACAGCTAACTGACTTTTAGTGGGTAATATTAGTGTACATGTGGTAGTGTGGTCCTAGGTGTGCCAGGCTCAGATGTGTATCTTTTCATTCAGTGTTTGTGCTTGGTCACACCATTGTCCCTTTTCTAACTTGTCTTTGAGTGCATAAACATTCCTGTTTCCTTTTCATGATTCTGGCAGGTGGAGTGGGGTGAAGTTGGCATTTTATTCTTTTTTTCCCCAAGGACTTTGATATGCAAAGTTGAAGGAATTATGGAAAATACCCACTTCCTAATTCTGAAGCTGGTGTACTAGTCAAAACATTAATTGGTGTCTATCTACGTTAACTTAAACGTAGAGCTTTTAAAGTTACAGGCTGGATAACTGAACAAATAAAATGTTTGCTGGTGTATTCTTGGTACAACCTGTCTGTGTTTTACTTTCACTCTCGCTATGCAGTTGTATAGCTAATAGGACATAGAATCATAGAACACTAGAACTGGAAGGGACCTGCAAGAGGTCATCAAGTCCAGTCCCCTGCCCTCGTGGCAGGACCCAGCACTGTCTAGACCATCTTTGGTAGATATCTATCCAGCCTGCTCATAAGTATCTCCAGTGATGGAGAGTCTATGGCCTCCCTAGGGTGGTTAAACTCTGAAATAAATTGCCTGTCCCTTAGGAAGTTTTTCCTAATGTCCAAATACAAACACGTCTTGTGCATTTGTTTCAGCAAAAAGTGCCATTAGATTTACTGCTGCATGTAACTGGATTTTGGACAAGTGGTGCTTAGCATAAACTGATGTTCTTGGTCACACTTCATTCAGTATGGCAGTCCCTCACCTTCCCTGAAAGGTAACTAACATTGAATGAAAGGGCTCTGACTTAAAAGATCTTAATCACAGGGTGAAACAACCTGCGTTACTTTAAGCTTGCTAAAATTATTTCATATTCGTATTGCTTCCCATTTTGCACTGTTGGTGAGCTCTGGCTAGGAAGTCTAACTTGGTTTTAGGAATCCCTGATAAAGTAAGCGGCTATACCCCTGAAGCATGCAGGCAGGCAGCAGTGCGACAAGTATGGTGCTGCCGGGGCAGGCAGACCGCGTACCATTCATGCTCTGCTGCTGCTCCGCCTGCCCAGCTGCAAAGGAGCTGGCATGTAGAGGGAAGGAGAGGTGCTAGGCCCTTCTGAGAAGTCCACTAAAGCTAAGTGGGACATGAAATAAGAAAGGCTGGTTGCCCCTATGGAGATAAGGAGGGAAAACCTACCTCCACTGCCTTTATACATCCCCATCTTCTCCCGTAACTTAGTCTGATGGTCCCTTGTACAACTTTGATATCCTCTGAGAACCTACATATGTGTTTTTTCCTTTGTCTAATGATGCACTGTGGCTTGCCCTGGAAATCAGGTATCTAGGGCCAGATGCTGTCTCCAGAAGGGAAAGAATGCAGGTGAGTAACAGCAAGGCTGGGTGGTTGTGCAAAACATGTTGAGCCCATGTTATTGAATGATGTGCAAGCTGGGAGGTGGTGACTACTGGCAGTACTGGCAAGAGTTTCCCATTTACCATTAGAAACTTAGAGAATCAGGGGTTTCTTCCCATTCCCCAAGACTACAGCGAAGTGGACTAAGTACCTGTGGGACTCTGCAAGGTTGGGATGTGTGGCACAAATAGCTTCCTCTAGAGGTCCCATCTGCTAGTGTTCTCATTGCTGGCTGTTGGCGCCTCAAGATGGGGCCCTTGGAACTCCCAGTTCTTAAAGATCTTTGATGCCTTGTTCTTCCTTGTGCTTTCCTTTCAGTGCCCAATAGCTCCCTCTTCCCCAGCCTTCCAGCCATTGAATTAAAGCTTTGCAGCAGGCTCATAGACATGGTCACATTAGAGCGGACACATCCAACAGCGTGATTAACCATGGAAGAGTGGTGGATTCTCCATTTTCAGAAGCCTTCCAATCAAGACTTGAAGTCCTTTCTGGGAGATACACTTTAGTCAAACTATTCACTCCATATAGGAGTAACTAGGTAAAATTCTGTGGCCCATTCATACAGGCAGTGTGACAAGACGCACCAGGTCTTCAGGCCCCCTGCTGGGACTTTTTTCTTTTCCCCTCCCTGGCTAGCCAAACGTGCATTGCAGGCAGATCGAGGCATCGCTGATTTTGGCCTCTCAAGAAGTGGCCCACAATTCTCAGGCAGCCTCACTGATCATGAGTTTGGATATGGCTGCCCTGCAGCCAGGTGACCGTCTACCTGCCCAGCCCGTTTTCAAGCTCCGCAATATTTAAATCCCATTTCCTGCTGCCTGAGCACCTGGACCCCCAACCCTCCCCGACTGGCTCAGTGTTCAGTAGTCCCCTGGGCTGTGTAGACTGGCCACTTTTTCCGGAAAAGCAGTCGCTTTTCCGGAAAAACTTGCCAGCTGTCTACACTGGCCGCTTGAATTTCTGGAAAAGCACTGACGAGCTCATGTAAGATCGTCAGTGATTTTTCCGGAAATACTATGCTGCTCCCATTCGGGCAAAAGTCTTTTTTCCGAAAGACTTTTGCACAAAAGAGCCAGTGTAGACAGCACAGTAGTGTTTTACGCAAAAAAGCCCCGATCACGAAAATGGCGATCAGGGCTTTTTGCGGAAAAGCGCGTCTAGATTGGCCATGGACGCTTTTCCGGAAAAAGTGCTTTTCCGGAAAAGCGTCCTGCCAATCTAGACGCGCTTTTCCGGAAATGCTTTTAACGGAAAACTTTTCCGTTAAAAGCATTTCTGGAAAATCATGCCAGTGTAGACGTAGCCCTGGTGTCTTCCCAGGTGCCCATGCCTGGCTATCGCACCAAACTTTTCCCTCACTTGGACTGCTGCGGAGCTGCTGGATCCAATCAGTGTATGGGGAGAGGAGTCTATCCAGTCCCAGCTGAGAGTGACCCATAGAAACTGGGACACGTATGAGCACATTTCTTAATCCTTATGTGAAAAAGGGTATGAGTGGGACGTGCTGCAGTGAAGATTAGAAAATGGAAAGAACTCTATTATAAGTCCTGTGAAGCCAACAGATGCTCCAGTGCTTCACTGAAGATGTGTTACTATAAAGATCTGGATGCTCTCCTTGGTGATGATCCCTGACTCCACCGCCAAGAGCCCCAGGGATACTTTGTAGGGCAAGGAGGCAGGACAGACACAGAGGGCCTATCCTGGAGAATGAAATTGTAGATGAGGAGGTTGAAGTAGGCAGGGACCAGAACCTCTCTCCCTGAGTCACCAAGTGCTTCTGGCAGCCAGGAACTGTTCTCCACTGCTGACGGACATAGCCAGTTTGAACAACTGCTTTCCAGGGATCAGGAGGATGAGATGCCGGAGTCACATTCCCTGCTTGTGGAGTGCAGGGCTGAGGGCATGGAAAGTGGGAGGCTGCCTGTGTTTGCGAGCTGCATGTATCTCTTGGTAGCTAATCGATACAGCCGAGCAGCATGTTGATGTCCTGATCTCAATGGAATCCTGCTGGGAGAGTCTTTTGGAACTTTTCTGGATACTTATATTTTCTGCCACCGACTCCACGGCAGAGCAGCTTTGTCCCCTCCTGCATTGTGGGACACTGTCCAGTACCGTTCATCAATCTGGTGCAGGAACCAAAGCAGAACCGAGGTGGGCAGCATGTGGAGCAAGATGAAAGCCACAAGCCTGGAGCAGTCATGCCTTCGTTTCCTTGCTCACCCAGAGCCGAGAGATGTCTGCCAAGGTGATGCCTGCCTGTGGAGAAGTGCGGCATAATCAGCTATATTTCTGCAAAGGGAATCTTCTAGCCCTGGTTGGAATTTTTGCCCACATGCACAGCGGCCCGCCACTCCCACCGCCTCGTTCTCCATGATCACAGTGCTTGCCAAGATGTCCCTTGCAAGGGTCAATGGGACAGTGAGTGGCAATGTTGGAAAAGGGATTTGTAAGTGAAATGTTACAATGTAGGCGTCTATATAAACAGCCTTCCTTTTCTGCTTTATGCTGAAAGCGACTGGCAGCCTCTCCGTGCGCTAGGTCAGAGAAATGGCAACGGATAAGGAAATGTCCTAGGAAAAAACCAGGAGGATTGGGTTCACCAAGTGTTAAGTCAATCAGCAGGTGAGTGCAGGCATCAGGAGTAATGCTTAGGAAGCTGAGGAGCCACAAGGACAGCCAGGCCTTTGCCTGGCAAGCCACAGAAGACACGGTCAGAGTCCTGGAGTAACAGACTGAGATCCTGAAGGGCATTGTGAAGCAGCACACTGGGCAAACACTGATCACTGGTCCCCTCCCAGCAGATTCAAAATTCTGTGTCCAATACTCTCTTCCCTCCCATTTCTTTTCCCTCTCTGGGAGTCCTCATTTTCCCAGGCAGTCTATCTCTTTAATTAGGATAACTAGACATATATACATTTGTGAGTTGTAACTCTTTGCCAGCTCTTCTCAGGGATGCTTTGTGTTTCAGGGCACCATTTTGTGACGAACAAAGGCGCACTTCTATAACAGTTCTATGATTTGAGTTACTGTTTAACAATGTCTCAGACTAGTCACTGCCATCCCAGGGGTTAGGTATTAAATAGGGATGTTAGATGTTGATTAATTGAATAATAGTGTAACCATGTGAAATGTTAGTGGTTACACGACTATTTGATAGCCTCTATCAGAGGCAGCAGTGCAGGGAGGCAGGAGCTGGTCTGTGCAGGGAGCCAGACAGGAGTTGCACTGGCATCCCACAGAGTAGTCTTTCTCTGTGATGAGCCCGAGGAAGGAGGGGATGGAACAGGTGGCTCCGTGGGATCCAGTGCTTGTGGGGAGCCAACTTAAAAGCTGACTGTCCAGGGGCACCGGCTCCTGCCTTCCCCCATCTCCTGCTGTCTCTGATATAGAGGTAGCAAGCGGGGAGGGAGTGCATGTAGTTGATAGGTAGGATTAAGTCATAAGCCCAGACTTATTGGTTAATCATTTAGTCAACTGCAGGTTGGCATCCTGAGTATTAAAGGCATGTTCCCAGACACGTGCTGCATGGGGTGGGGAAGGTGCTGCATGGAAGCAACTGTTAGAGGTTTATTCCAGCACCCCTCATTTTCAAAGTGCACCCTCAAAGCCTTCCTGATGTTAACAGCAGCCTTTTGAGCTCCTCTGACAGCTCTAGTGTCTGGCTGCTCAAACTCTGCAGCCAAGCGCTGTGCTGAAGTGCTCTACCCCTCATTTCACACTTACATGCAATGTGCAACAAGCCACGATAACCATGGGAAGTGTCCTCATTGAGGTGTTGCCTACCACAGACACACCTCCATGTCACCTTCAATCTCCCAAAGGTGCATTCAACCACTATGTGACACTTGCTCAGCCTCTTGTTAAAACGCTCCTCACTGCTGGCCAAGTTCCCCTTGTACGGTTTCATGAGTCTAGGCTGCAAGGGGTAAGCCGGATC